CTCTCTCTCTCTCTCTCTCTCTCTCTCTCTCTCTCTCTCTCTCTCTCCTCTCTCTCTCTCTCTCTCTCTCTCTCTCTCTCTCTCTCTCTCTCTCTCTCTCTCTCTCTCTCTCTCTCTCTCTCTCTCTCTCTCTCACCTAACTCTTGTATCTATATAGTGAACCAAACGCCATCCCGAACAAGCGAACGAAACGGGCATTGCGACACCGTCGGGAGAAGCTCAATAAACGAATTCGTCGCGAAACCGGACACGCCGAGGAACTCGCGGAGCTTAATCGAAGTAGAGCCGAGACTCTCTGACATCTCTCTACATCAATACGCCACCGCTCTCCGCTCCATGACAGACTTTAAGAAACAGTGCACTCCAGAGCACTTCGACATGGAAAAATTCTACGACCTCGTCCGTCAATTTCCCCGCTCTCCCACCCATCCACCTCCAGGAACCTTTTACATTAAAAGAAAATTTAAACCCGACAGCCAGTTTTGGGATCAAATCTCAAGACACCAAGTTCACGATATTATTCCTATGTACATTTCCCGTGACCCTCTTCCCTATCTTGTTCCAGTGAAGGCTTTCCGCAGCGCTCACCCTAATCCCTCGCCACACCTGCAATCCGATCCCATCGATATGCTCGCGATTACCAATTTTTTGCCCCTATTAGAACAATTGAGAATATAGATATCATTTTTTTGTTTTTTTGTTTTATTTATTATTATTTGAAGTTCTATGTATAAAATTTTTGTAATCAGTACTTCCATATTCAAATGTACACAGTAAAATTTGCGCCACTTCGAAGAATCTTAGAATTAACATATTGTATTTCCTTTTTTATTATTATTAAATCATAGTTAACTCGAATTCCGTCTCGATTTATTTACCAAAAAAACTTGACCCCGAACCGTTCACGACTCCCTGAAGATCGCACGAGGTCCATCCCTGGTAAAAGAGATTCGGTTCTCTGACCTAAAACGGATCACCGATAGCGCTGGCGCGGGTAAGGGTTATAACGTCACCGATGCTGACCCGATTCCTGTCCCCTTAACTCGCGGATCGACCTCACGACGTCGATCTGTAAGAGCAACAAAGGTTCCGTGCGTCCACCCGAGTTCTCCTCCTCCTGACGGAAGGTATTATCTTTCCTCTAGAACCTCGGACGTAACACTTAATACTCTACTAAAATAAACAATTACTTTCTCCTTTCCTTCTTGAATCTGGGATAAACAGCAATGCCATGATTCGAGGCGTCAGTATCCAAAATGAATTTTCCTGTCGATTGGAAAGG